TATATATATATATATATATATATATATATATATATATGTATATATATATATATATATATATAAGTGCTGCGTGTAAGGATCGGACTTGAAGTTTTTCCAGTAATCTTCTCTATCGATGATTTGCTCCATGGGTTCAAATCGATTCATATAAAAAATAAACAAAAGAATAGGCAGTGCGGGAGCAGCAACAGAGCAGACTGCCATTAAAAGAAAACGAAATTGAGGCCATGCAGCCTGCAATAACTGCCGAAAAGTATATTCTTTATAGCAATTTTCTGTGTCAAAAAAGACAGAAATATCTCCATGAGTTGGGGCGTATATCGAAGGTGTTGTGAAATTCAAATATTGATATCCTAAGAAAATCATACAAACAAACATGAATGAATAGAGCAATAAAGACAAGGAAAAACGCAGGAAAGCAGAGAAAAAAGAAGAAATATACATTTATATTTATCTTTTAAATATTTTTACCCCTTTTATTCTTCTTATTTCTCTTTAGTTTACCCTACCTGAAGTCATAGGCACTCGTGAAACCTTATGGCTAACAAACTTATGAGAGCTTATCTTGCGCATATCCATTCCCTTCCAAGGCTTCTTTGCTCCACAGTCTGCTCCTTCTGGATGAAATTGAGGATTATCTGGACTAAATGATTGAAGAGGTGCAGGAGAAAAGAAAAAACGAGGTGAAGTTAGGCGAAAAAATCCGCCTGCCGCAGAGGCGGCGCTGCCGGTGCCGCTCCGCAAGAAAACCCTCATTATATACCCTTTCAAGGGGCTCTTGAGGTGTATAGACAACTCCTGTTTCTTTATTTTACTTTTATTAATCTCTTTATTCAATTTATATCTATCAAAAGAACAAAATAATACTCCAACTGACCACGCAGACCGCTGCGCAGCCAACTTCACTGCATGCGTCAACCAGTTAACGGAATTGCATCGAATGAATTAAGCATTAAACATTTAAATAATTATTATTCTTTCTATTTTTTGACATTATAATCACAAAAATATCATAAAATATATCTAAAAACTCTCTCCTCTACTCTAAATAAAACAACGCTAACTTAACACGGTTTGCCTTACCAACGGCTGCTGGGGCCTCTCCTCTCTGTCTAACCTTTTCTTACGCCCCTGCAAAAACATAAAGTAAAAGAAACATTAATATTATTTATTATTATTTATTATTATTATTGTTAATTATTATTATTTATTATTATTATTAGTTGTTGGAGTAGCAGTAGTATGAGTATATGCAACTTTAGAATGAAGGAATTAGCTGTGTACGCTGCATCTTGTACTTTATCAAGTTAATCTTATATTTATGTACATATACAATATATACAATATATACAATATATATGTATATGTATATATATGTATATATATATATATACATATATATATGTATGTATATGTATATATATATATATCCATATGCGAATATATATAATATTTGTACACTTTCTTCACACATTCATACACATGCATGAAAAGCATACATATAAAATATATATATATATATACTTATACATATTTATATATATTTATATATTCTGTCTAGTGTTCGCACAATGCACGCATCAAGAGGTTTTTTACTCCTGTTTGCGTCTGCATGCGTTGCAGCAGCAGCTGCTGCTGCAGTAGTAGCCTTAGCTTACAGCATAAGGGATATTTCCAGGCTCAGCCGCCGCCGCCGCCGCCGCCGCAGCAGCAGCAGCAGCAGCAGTAACCTTAGCTACCAGCATAAAGGACATACCCACTGAACCCTTTACTACGATACTGCTGCTGCTTTATCTAATAAATAAAGCAAAGGAATATTGAATGAATTTGGAAGGCAAACAAAAGCCGAAAACAGCAGCAAGTTATTTCGGTAGATGTACAGAGAAAGAAAGGATGAATTTGTTTATTTTATTATTATTTATTATGCTGATGAAGACCTTAAACAGAATTTAGTGCATTTTAAATATTGCTGCTGCTGCAGGCAGCAGCAATGCGCCGCCCTTCGTCTCCTCAGCCGTATCAATGATGCCAGCGGCAGCAGCAGCAGCAGCAGAAGCAGCAGCAAATGCAACATTAAGGCGTAGAGAAGAATAAGGAGTCGCTACAAAGAAATATAGACAATATATATATATATATTTATATATATATATAAATATATATAGGGGATCCACCTCTTGTAACATAAATATACGTATATATCTATATCCATATATATATATATATGTGCATATATACATCTATATGTATAAATATATATATATATATATATGTCTGTGTTTTATAGAAGTTGTTTCTGATTGCCTTTACGTGTGGAGGGCTACTGCAGAGACAGTTTGACGCCAAGACGCCTGAACATTTTCCTCTTCTACTTTGAGCCTATTCAAATTCTCTCTCGTCTTTTTATTACGCTCGCTGCTTGCAGAAAGCCATGGTGTTGTACGCTGTACATATATATATATATATTATATATATATATTATACATTTGTATACCTACAAATATATAAATATATATGTATTATATGCATAATGTATTATCTCTATACATATATTTTATATACAAGCCTCGCTGCATAGAAAGAGAAGCTGAAGAATAATAATAGCGTTTGCGGTGTACGTACACCTGAAGGCAGCGGCAGGTAGAAAGCCGCACCATGCAATTATTACTATTAATTAATTAATTAATCGATTAATTAATAATAATAATAATTATATTTAATAGTAGAAAGTTTGGAGTACTATTTGTTGTTATATTTGAACAATTTTCGCTTGAAACAGCGACAGAAGAAAAACAATAAAAGTTTTGCTGGCTGTCCTTGAAGAAGGATTTGCACAAACAAAAACAAAAACTTTCACCGCCTTTTGGCGAGCACAATTGCAATAAACGAAATATAAATATCATCAATAAGGCTGCTGTCAGCAGCACATGTTGCTGCTGCTGCAGAAACTTAGACCTGCTGCTCCTCGAGCCGCTGCCGCTGCCGCTGCTGCTGCTGCTGCTGCAGCTGCTGCTGTTGTTGATAATAGGCTGAGGCTGCTGCTGTTGCTGTTTCTGCTGCAGCATATTACAGCCCCTCCGTCGAATAAAAAATTAATTGCATGCGGGCAGCCAGCCGCACCATCTATAGTCCAGCAAGGCTCCAGCTGCTGCTATTGCTGCTGCTGCTGTTGCAGTTGCTGCTGTTGTTGCTGCTGCTGCCATTTGAAAGCTGCATTTACCCTCTACTATTTTTGCGTATTTATGGCTGCTCCTGTGTGTTCTGTAAGATGCGTTGCAGATGTTCGTGGTGTTGCGGAAACCCCTGCTGCTGCTGCTGCTGCTGTTGCTGTTGTTGTTGCTGCTGCTGCTGCTGCTGCAGGAGAGCAAGAGGAGCTGCAGAAATAAGAGTTCCGTCTGGTGTAAGTATCTGAGGCTCCATATCTGTGAAGTTTTGAGCTTCAAAGCGTGCATCTTCTTGAGCAAGGAAGGCAAGCTCACCTATAGCAGTTGCAGGTCTAGGAAGCAGCCTTAAGCAGTAAGTTAACGAGAACTCAACAGCAGCAAAGACATGAGATGTAAAGTACTTGAAGAATGTCTTTCCATGCAGAGGCTTATACTGCTCTATAACCTGACCTACAAGTGTTTTAATTGTTTGTTTAAGCCGTATAAAAGTTCGTGCCTTTAACTCTGATGCAAGTCTTTCTCCTTCTCTTTCATCAGCAGCAGCAGCTTTAATTGCTTCTTCTTCTTCTAAAGCTTTTCTTATCTGAGGAAGGCAGAAAGATATCCATGCCCTTCTTATTACACTTGAAACATCATCTAAAAACATCGCTAATACTTGCATGCGAGATAAGGAAGCCCCAGGCGTAAGCTCAGTGCCGTCTAAGCCGCCGCTGCCTCTCAGCGCTCTGAACGGCACTACACGCCCTACTGAAAGCCCCAGCAATAAATCTTCCTCTGTTCTGCAGCAGCAGTAGCAGCAGCAGCAGCAGCAGCAGCAGCAGCAGCAGCAGCAGCAGCACATAGCAGCAGCACATAATAGAAGTACATTGCAGCACCAGCAGCAGCAAAAAATTGCACCAAAATACACCAAAAATACAAACAGCAGCAGATAATTGCAACAGGAAAACAAACAGCAGCAGAAGCAAACAGCAGCAGCAGCAAACAGCAGCAGCAGCAGATGCACAAACTTAAACAGCAGCAAGCTTAAGGAAACCAGCAGCAAATCCAACAACTGCTGCAGCAGCAAACCGCCCAACGCCAACATAAAAATAATACAGAGAGAACAAAAAGCAATAATGCAAGGCACAGCATGTAAGAGAAGAAGAGGAATGCTTGCAGCAGCAGCAGCAGCAGCAGCAGCACAGTAGTAGTTGCAGGAGTAGAAGTGGCAGCAGCAGCAGCAGCAGCACTAGAGCTTCTTTTTGTAGAACAAAGAGGAAGAGACATCAGCCATTCAAAAGGAAGCTGTACGTGCATGCATAGTGCATGCACATTGCATGCAACATGCTTGCACATTGCATGCGCATTGCATGCACATTGCATGCATATTGCATGCATATTGCATGCATATTGCATGCACGTTGGCTTACGGGGTGTCAGGCACCGAAGGAAAAGGAATGCGTTTTGCTTCTCGTGAATCTGCATCTCCTTCATTTGCTGCTGCATGCAACGAGGCAGCTGTACATACAGCCCACAGAATAACAAGAAGACCAAGAGAGAAAGAAGGGAGCACTGCGTGTAGCCTCATCGCTGCAGCAACAGAAGAAGAAGACGCTGCAGCGGTAGAACACAGCAGCAGCAGCAGCAGCAGCTGCAGCAGCAGCAGCAGCAGCAGCAGCAGCAGCAGCAGCTCTTTTTTCCCCTGATATCGCGCCTGCTCCTGCTGGTTCTCAGCTGAATCTTTTAATACAAATTTGTTGTTGAGTTAGCTCCCTATATATACATATATACATATATATACATATATATATGCATGTATATATATATCTTTTATAAAGAAACAAATAAAGAAAAAACCTTATGACTCGCAGTCTAACAACGCTAGGCCCACAGGGGGGCCCCTAAAGGCTTGGAGGGAAGTCTTCTTCATGCCTGTTAATGAATGCATGCAAATAAAGAATATTATATTTTAATCTGATAATTATATATGCAGATATATCTGCCTCCCTCCTCTTAATAATATAAATATCAGAGGCTGCGGGCTGCGCCCGTCTTCTGCTGCTGCAGGAATGTTCAAGAAAAAGCAGCGCATGCAGCACTTTGTTTATCTGAGAGAAATAAAAGAAATATACACAAAGAAGGGGAAGAAGCAGAGCTATTTGTTGCTGCTGCTGCAGCAGCAGCAACAACAACAACAGCAGCAGCAGCAGCAAGCAGGGCCCCTAATGAAGTGCTGCTGCACGAGGACTAAGTATATCTTTTTGTTGCTGCAAGAGAAGAAGAGATATAGATATGCATTAAATAATATTAAAAAAACAAAAAACACTATTATTTAAATTAATATTGAAAGAGAACAAATCAATTAATTTATTATTTGCATGCAGAGAGACGATATATACATAGCCAGCCCCATCGAGCGGTAAGGGGGGCAAGCAGCTGCTTTTCTGTTTCTTTTTTTCTATGTTTTCTTCTTTTAAGAGTTAATTCTTTAAAATTAAAGCGTTTAAAGACATAAAAAGCTGACAAGTATGCAATTACTGCTTCTTTTGTATATATACAGCGGAGTCTCGCGCTTGTTGCTCTGAGAGTGTAACACACAAAGTGTAGAGCTGTACATACAGCTGTCGTCTCTTAGTTTCTTTGTCTTCCTTCTTCTCTCTTTCTCTTTATTTTTTGTTTATTTATATTTATCTACGACAGGGGGTTGCTCCGCGGCTCCTCTCACCTCTCCCCTGTCTTTGTTTTCGTTACGCTCCCGCTGCAGCTGCTGCAGCTACTGCTGCAGCTACTGCTGCTGCTGCTGCTGCTGCTGCTTCGTTTCTCTCTTCTCAGTCTCAGGCAGCTGAGCTCTACTAACGCATTAACTAAGGAGGCTCTTTTGGGGTCTGTTGTCTTCCCTTTGCTTCTCTGTGTGTGTCGGTGGTGATGTATCTTTGAGGTGTATATACAGCTGCGTCTTCGTTATTTATTTGCTTTATACCAAACTCTGCTCTTATTTTTATTGAACTGCAGCATGTTGTGTTTCTGCTGCTGATGCCCGCGGTCATGGAGGCGGTTCGCCGACCCCTCACGCAGGCGGCACCAGCAGCAGCAGCAGCAGCAGCAGCAGCAACAGCAGCAGCAACAGCAGCTCCAGTAGCAGTAGCTGCTGCTGCTGCTGGTGCTGCTGCTGCTGCTGTTGCTGCACCCAACCCACGAGCAAACGGTAGCCTTGTTTCAGACTGCTGCTGCTGCTGTTGCTGGCCTGAGGAGGCGATTCAATCTGCAGCAGCTCTTCTTGAAGCCATTGAGGCCCTTCCCCACAGCAGCAGCAGCAGCAGCAGCAGCAGCGACCAGCAGCTTCAGCAGCAGCAGCAGCAGCAGCGAGGCCCCGTCTCTCCCTTTGTCTGCGCTCATCTACTTCATGAGGCCCTCGAGCTGCTTGTTGACGTCTTGAGGTGTGCAGCAAAACAAATTGCATGCAGAAACAGAAAAAGAAATTAAATATAAAAGATTAAAATAAATAAATTTATATATATTTAATCAGTGCAGAGAAACAAGCTGAAGTTGAGGAGGAGACAATACACCTGAAACAGCAGCAGACAGACAAACCGCAGAATGTTGCTGCTGCTGCTGCTATTGCTGCTGTTGCTGCTGCTATTGCTGCTGTTGCTGCTGCTATTGCTGTTTTTGCTGCTGCTATTTCTGCTGCTTGTTTATGTGCTTTTGTATCATCACTAATGTGTGTTATCTGTTGTTCCTATTATATATATTATAATCTACATATATATTTATAATATATAAATATAGATATAAAATATAAATATATGTATATATATATATATTTCTTGCTTTGTTTAGGGTGTACGGACAAGAAAGAGTGGTTCTGAGTTTTAATGGCGGTAAAGATGCCGTAGCAATTCTTCATCTATACAGAGCAGCACTTGTCAAATATGCTCGCCTGCAGCAGCAAGAGCAGCAGCAGCAACAACAACAACAACAGCAGCAGCAGCAACAACAACAACAACAGCAGCAGCACCATCAGCACCATCAGCAGCAACATCATCAACACCAACAGCACGAGCAGCACCAGCAGCAGCACCAGCAGCAGCAGCAGCAGGAACTGCAGCAGCAGCAGCAGCACAAGTGCTGCTCGCGCTGCTGTTGCTGCTGTTTGCCTGGCTTTTATTTGAAGAAGCCGCATGCAGTGTACTTTCACTCGGGAGCGAAAGAGTTCCCCCAAGTTGAAGAGTTTGTTCTTCAGACTGCCAGCCTCTTTGCTCTCAATGTTGAGTAAGCTTCGGCCTTCTTTATTATTTCTTTATTACTCTTTACTCTTTACTCTCTACTACTCTTTATTGTTTATTATTTACTCTTTACTCTTTACTACTCTTTATTGTTTATTGTTTATTCTTTACTCTCTACTACTCTTAATTGTTTATCATTTACTCTTTACTCTTTACTCTTTATTGTTTATCATTTACTCTTTATTCTTTACTCTTTATTGTTTATTGCTTATTGTTTATTCTTTACTCTTTACTCTTTATTCTTTATTCTTTACTCTTTACTTTTTATTGTTTTTTATTTATTATTTATTCTTTACTCTTTATTATTATTAATTCTTTATTCTTTATTCATTATTATTGCTATTATTCTTTATTCTTTATTCTTATTCTTTATTCTTTATTCTTTATTGTTACTATTATTCTTTATTCTTATTATTAATATTATTCTTTATTCTTTATTATTACTATTATTACTCTTATTCTTTATTCTTTATTCTTAATCTTTATTATTATTATTATTACTATTCATTATTCTTTATTCTTTATTATTATTCTTTTGTGTTGTTGGTGTGGGGACTGAAAATTGTTTGTCTTAAAGTTGAGTGAATTTGGCGCTTCTCTCTTATTATTCTTTTTGTTTTTGTTTTTGTTTTTGTTCTTCTTCTTCTTTTCATTATTATTATTATTATTATTATTGCCGTTGCTGCTGCTGCTGTTGCTGCTGTTGCTGCTTCCATCGCTGCTACCGTTGCTGCTGCTGTTGTTGCTGCTGTTATTACACTGCTGCTGCAACTTCTGTTCTTTACTGTTGCTGCTGCTGCTGCCTTTGCTGCTTCTTATCTTGCTGCTGCTGCTGCTGTTATGTTTGTTAGGGTGTATTACTGCGACTGGGCCTCCGGCATTCGCAATTTTCTCTCGCGGCAGCCACCGGGGCCTATTGCTTTCGTCTTAGGTAACTGCTGCTGCTGCTGCTGCTGCTGCTGCTGTTGCTGTTGATGTTCATGTTGCTGCTGATGCTGTTGATGTTGCTGCTGCTGATGCTGCTGCTGATGTTGCTGCTGCTGTTGCTGTTGTTGGTACTGCTGCTAGTGCTGCTGCAGAAGAATTGAGAATAATTTTATGCGTGTGCGAGGAGTTTGTTTATAGTATGGAGAGTGCGGCAGTGCATGCATTTGGAGTGTATGCGTTTCTATTTGTTTAATTTATTTAATTTATTTAATTTAATTTGCTTAATTTGTTTCATTATTTTGTGTATCAGTTTATTTGCTTTATTTGATTTCTTAGATTTCTTTGATTTCTTTGATTTCTATACTTTATTTAATCTTTTAAAGTATATTTTCTTTGATTTCTTTATTAAATACAGTTCATGTATTTCGTTTGTTTAATAGATTTCTTTATTGAATATATTTAATGGCGCAGGGACAAGGAAGACAGACCCGCAAGGTCTGCGTGAAAATCTGCAGCCGCTGCAGCCCTCAAGTCGGTGGCTGCCTGCATTTATGCGGGTGCAGCCGCTTCTTCAGTTTGACTATGGAAATATTTGGGGCTTTCTTCGCTCTTTTAAACTCCCGTATTGCACACTCTATGATCTGGGGTACTCCAGTATCGGCAAGTGCGTCAGCTCTATAGAATCCTCATTCATATAAACATATATATATATATATATTATATATATTTACATTTATATATGTATATATATGCATTATATGTATATATATGTATATACCTGCATGTATATATATTTATATTTTTATATTTATTAGTGGTTCAGCTGTATATGGACGGGTATTTCGGGTGTACAGGCATCTCACATGTATTGAGGCATTTCAGGTGTATGGGCAGTTCAGCTGCATATAGAAGCCCCAGTAGTATATATACACCTCATTAGTATATATACACCTCATTAGTATATATACAATTCAGTCGTATATAGATATCTCAGCTGTATATAGAGACGCCTGAAGTGTGCGGGAGTTTTGGGTATTTGTTATTACCTTTGCGGTGTAGTAACGGCACACTTGAGTTGAATATACAGTTGGGGTGTAGCATCACTTGAGGTGTATCCGCACCTATTGAAGGCGTAAAAATACACAGCAGATGCGCATGCGTTTGAATATTTGTGCTGCTGCATGCATACATGCATGTGTGCCTACGTTTGATGGTTTGTGTTGCTGTGTCTATACATACACGCATGCATGCATGCATGCATACATATATGCATGCGTTGGAGTGTATGTACAGCATGGAGAACACGGAGCCTAACCCGCTGCTGCTCGCTGCAGACAACGGAGCGCCGCTGCCAGCGTATGAACTCTTAGCTTGGGAAAAAGAGAGAGAAGGGCGACGTCCACAGCGAAGCAACGCTGCAGCTTGAGGTGTATATACACCTCATTTATCTTGAGGTGTATGTACACCTCATTTAGCTTGAGGTGTCTTCTGTCTGTCTGTACACCTCATTTAGCTTGAGGTGTCTTCTGTCTGTCTGTACACTTCAATCTCATGGAGTGTACGGAACGAGAAAAAGAAATAAATATTTGAATTATTCTTCTTGATGTTTATGCCGAACAGCCGGCACCCACTCGTACCCCTGTTATTCTCTGACAACGCATGCACCTCCACTGTCTGTTATACTAATACTTCTACTTCTGTTGAATATTTATTTTATATTCATTCGAGTATAAAGCTAGAGCTTGTGATGAGGCTTTATACACTTGTGTGTATTATACAAATATTAAACAAAGATTAACGCTAATTAAATTCTTCCTTGTCCTGAACTGCTGCGCATCTGTATATCTGTGCAGATGTTTATTTAGCTGTAGGAGGGTTATTGATGTTTGTATGGGTCTTGAGGTGCTTCTCTATATCTAGCTTTTGTCTATATGGAGATGCATGCACGTGCGTATAGACATTACTGCATCTAAGCGTAAGTCTGCAAACCTGTAAAAATATCCATTAAAAAAACATATTTTTGTTGCAGTGTACCCGCACTGACACCCACAAGCTGCATGCGTTTGTCTGTACAGACACCGCATGCGAAAGCTACGGGTGCGCATGCATGCATACATGCATGTATGTATGCATGTATGTATGTATGTATGTATGTATGTATATATGTATGTATGCATGCATGCATGCATGCAGCTCCATGGCTTCTGTTTGCTTCCTCGATGAGCTTAACATCATTTTCTCTGTCGAAAGCATGAACAGCCGGCGCATGCACAGGAGCTCTGCCGTCTATACACCTCAGCTGGAAGTCTCACTGAGGTGTAGGAACTACATCTTCTGTTTTTCTGAATAATTAACATTTTCCCATAGTTATTACAATATGCAGCTGTTATAACGACTCAGGGAATGTTCAATATATATATATATATATATATATCTGTATATATATATATATATATATGTATATATATATGTATATATATATATATATAGAGAGAGAGAGAGAGAGATAGGGAACAGATGACTGAACTTTGTATATATTTACTGTATGAACAGCTAACGAGTTTTTTATACTTAGAAGGCATTCCGCTAACATTACCTGATATTATTTAATACAATATTGTGCAAAACAAACGCTTCATCGGCAGTTTGTTGCGCTGTCAAGCTCAGTATATATATATATATAATATATATATACATATATATATACATATATGTATACGGAGCTTGTGAAGCGCAGAACAAATGCTCGTGTTGTGTGTGTTTGCTTCCCAAAAAGAACAGAAAAAAGAATTGAATTTGAATTGAAGTGAAGCAACAAATAAAATGAAGGAAGAAAGCAAATTGATTTGCGGTGTATGTACACCGTAAGTTGAATATCAGTTTCGGCGTTCGCCTGCAGCATTGATGCATCTTTGTGCATGAATTTGCAAAGTTTGAGCTGAATTAATATCAGTTTTTTCTTTATTTTCTTTTTTCTTTTCGTTTTTTTCATCTATTACCTCCATTAATTCCTCAGCAAACGATCTAAAACTCTCCCGCTGCAGCATTTCATACAAAACGCTGAAACCTGCAGCTGGGCTTTGAACTGCTGCAGAAACCACCGTACGAATTGAAGACTGCAAATTAATATCGTGCAGCTCTGGGCGCGAGGAGAAGATTTCTGCAAAGGAGAGGAAAAAGCAAAGAAAAACGAATATCACGAGTGAGTAAAGAAGGAGAAAAGTAGCAATACAATACAGTAAAAAGAAACAGTTATTCATGCGTTCATTAAGAATAAAGACAGAGACAACAGCCACAGGCGGATGCCGCTGTATAGAGAGTATAAAATAATACACAAAGAAAAACAAACACAGCTAACAGCGACACAAAAAAATACTATTTTATAAAGATGAGTGCACGCAAACGAAGAAAAAGATAAACAAATAATAAACAAAGAAAAACGAAAAACCCTGCAGTAACGCCGCAAACAACAGGCCTAACGAAGCAGCGTCTGCTCAGACAACAACAACAACAGCAGCAGCATCATCAGCAGCAACAACAGCAACAGCAGAAGCATCAGCGGCATCAGCAACACCAGCATCAGCAGCAGCAGCAGCATCAGCAGCAGTAGCTGTAACTGAGCAAATAAGACTTACGAATAGCTGCACGTTCAGCAGCAGAGAGACAGCCAAACGCTCGCTCTATGAACGCCTGCGGTGTCTGTTGTCTGTATCTTTCTTTCTTAATTTCTTGCATATTCTCAGCTTCATCTTCAGAGACAGAAGTATCAGTGGAGTGCCCCTCTGAACTGTCGGACGTATCATCTGCGTCCTGTGGGCCCTCTTCCTGCTGCTGCTGCTGCTGCTGCAGATGCAGCTGCTGTTGCTGCTGCAGTTCTGCAGCATCAAAGCTGGTGCTGTTGAAGTTATCTGCTGTATTGTTTAAACATGTTTGAGCAATTGAATCTTCAGCTGTATGTACAGCTGAATAGACACCGGAGAGGGGAGGGCCTCCGGTGGGCCCTACGACGCCCCCAGTGCATTTCTTTTTTGTTTTTTCTGCTTCTTCTACTGCCAGAGAGTTCTTCACGTTTTGTTTGCCTTCACACGGTGTCTCCGTGTGCTGCTTATAGCAGCTAGTGCTGCAGAAGCGGCTGCCGCAGCAGCGAAATTTATACTTACCATCACCTTCCCCGCAGACACTGCATATGCCCTTCCTTCGGATATCAGCTGGTGCTGTTGCTGCTGTTGTTGTTGTTGCTGCTGCTGCTGTTGTTGCTGCTGCTGTTGTTGCTGTTCCGGGTGTCGTCGCTGTTGTAGCGGCCGATGCAGCAGCAGCAGCAGCAGCAGCAGCACCTCCCCGCCCTACCCCTCTCCCCCTGTAGCCCCTCCGCTGCCCAGGAGCCCCAAAACGGCCGCGAGGTCTGCCGTAGAAAGCCCCAGAGAAGCGAGAATTTGCATTATCAGCACCACTACCTCGAGCAGCAAAACCTCTATTAAATCTTCTGCTTCCTGATGTCATACCCCCTTCAAACCGCCCCTGGGAGGTGAGGGGGGTGCCGCCGCTCTGTGCAGAGCCTGAGGCGTTCATTATAAGACGAAGAAATGCATTACTTTAACTCAGAGAAATGCAGCCCCATGAATGCATGCATGGAAGGCTGAAGGGCGTATGTATGTATGAGCAAAGAGGTGAAGGAAGCTCAGCTGCTGAAAGGAAGAAAGAGTTTTTGGTTAAAATAAAAAGAAATACAATATTAATCATTATTATTATTATTATTGCTTTAACAATGAAGAATATTAGCTGAAAACGAGCAGTAGATGTTGCAGCGGGGCTGCATGCGATCGCCACCACCGCTGGACGGCGTCAAAGAATTCCATAGAAATTCGTGAAATATTTTACTATAAATAAATTTATTTTTATTTTTTATTCATTTTTAAGTTAATTTATTTTAATTTATTTGGTTCTGAAATCTTAACGCTTCACCGTTTTTCCAGCTGTGCATCGGCGGCTATCGACTGCCGCTCTGGTCGATGCTCTCTCTCTCTCTCCCTGGCGAGTTGAAGACTAGTTGAGAAGCCTCACGTAATAACAATAGTAATAGTAGTAGTAATAATAATAATAATATAAATAATAATAAGAATATTATTAATGTTAATAGTAATGATAATAATAGTAGCCGCATATGTAACAGGCTGTCGATGAGGCTGTCGATGAGGCTGGCGATGAGGCGAAGCCTTTCAGTATCGGGTTTTCAGAGAAGAGCTCTGCTGTACTTTTTTTATTATATTATTAGTACATTATATAATTTTGTCTCTACTTTATTATCTCTTTTTATACTATTGTTATATTGTTTCAGTACTTAATGATTGCTTTATTCAACTGCATCGATGCATTAATAGCCTACATTCTTTTGTGGTTTTTACTATTATATTAATACATTATATAATCTTGTTCCTCTTCTTTTGCCTATTTTTATATTATTTTTTAATTATTTCAGCACTATACAATTGCATTATTCAACTGCATCAATGTATTACGATATTACAAGGATATGTTAGCCCTCGCTTACCTGCAACAGCTTAAATAAGAAGAAGCCCCCAATCAACATTCTTACCTTCTCTGGCTTTAATTCCATAGGCCAAGCAGCAATATTCAATTATATATTTTCAGAAAAAATTTGAAATAATTCGTTTTGTGCAAACGCCTGTAATAGGCCTAATCTATACCGCAGTGTACGTACCGCTCTTGCGGTGGTATTTAAAGCGCAAGATATAAAAAAAAGCTTCTAGAGAGCCTCTTAAATGTATTACTAGACTTATTCTTTTCTTTAATTGAAGCATAGAACTAAAGATAAATGCATCATGGATTTCGCGCGAGAACACCCGTTCTTATCGCCCTCCTAATCTTGAGTATAAGCCTCTCCTTTGTAAGTGCCTCTTCATATTAAAAGCATAAACGCTTAAAGTTTACAAAGCCTTTTAGCTGTTCAGGTTTAGACAGGCTGCTATTAAGGAGAATGCAGAACCCGCTCTAGTCTTGTTGCTGCATAGAAGAGGGGGCTCCTGGTCTCTTCCTGATTAACTCTCTCCTACCTACGATGTATAAATAAATATAGTCTCTTTCTTCACTCTTTCCGTACTCACTGTAGACTCTAAAAAGCAACTGAGAATCACCCCGCAGCTATTTGTATCCTACTTGGATACGGGGAGATCATGAAAAAAGAAGGACTTTGTACTGCAAGTTATTAGAGGTACATCATGAACTGCAAGCATCTTTATAAGAATAAACATCAGAGAGAAAACAATAAGATATGCGGAGGTTTCTCTTTCTCTTCTCTGAGGCTCTGACACTAATAACGTATCAGCATTGCAAACATGCAACTCTCTCCGCTAGCTTATCAAGAAGGTATTGATATATGTGTATCTCCACGCTAAATAGTTATTCGAGATATATTATAGAAAAATTACAATAGCTTGTCTGCGGGGTACGCAGGATATGTCAAGACGTAAACCAATCCGGATATAGAAGAAAAACGATGCATCTAAAACCCTAAACCCTAAACCCTAAAAGCCTGTTCGTCAAGTTCACAGGCATGTGTCGATAGCTCACCAACAGCGCCGGACAGTCAGAGTGATATTTCGTCTTTTGAGTTCGTTTTCTTCTATAAAAGCCAAATAATAAATTGAAATATAATTTAATATTACTACAAATGGAGTTTAGAAAGGAAAAAAAAGTTTGTCTCGAAGCTCTTCTTGAGGACCGCCGACTGGTCAACCGTGAAACCAGGCCCGCACAACTTTTCGTTCGAAATGCTGTGGACTAGTTTAAATTCCTTTCAAGTTTAATTCAGTAAAAGCTATTACTATTGATTTATTATTTAAGAATTAAACAAAGGAAAAGGAGTAATTCAACCTATTTTCTCCTTGATTCCCCCGAGTCACCTCGAGGAAACCGCGCGGCGTGGTCAGGAATGCATTCGGCGATGCTGATGAGTGGCTGCTGAGGACAGCCCCTTGATTTTTCTCTATTTTTGTGAAACTTCGGTTTAAATTGCACATTAATGGTGAATTAGGAGGTTTTGTGTCTCTTTAGTTCCATTTTTTGCCTCTTTTTGTCCAGGATGAAGGCCGCGACATGTTTGTTCGTCGCCGCTTGCCTCAGCGTGGCTGTTGTGAAGGGAGAAACGAGAGGTTTGCTTCAATCCTTTTATAAATATGACGTTTGCAGAAAAGATTTTCTGAATATTGCGGTAAGGAAAAACCTCAATATCCATACAAGTTTGTCGTTTAGAGTCGTTCAATTTCTGCTTACCCAATTAACAGTGGCGCCGTCGCTGTCTGTGCAGCAGATAACTCTGCATTTCCCTCTCCTTAATCCATTTATACTTAATAAATCATTGTTTTTCAGGCCACTGGAGACACGAAAAGCCCAGCTTGCTGGAAGTTCTCACGAACAGAAGACCCTGCAGAACGCTACAAAGCCTTTACAGCTGAAATCACCAGTCGCCCATTTTCGTTTTATGGTCCCCGAGACAAAATATTGAAACGTCTTGAGGCCTATGCTCCTCCTTCAATTGATTTGAAGACTCATAGAGCTTCTCTCCTTCAGCACGGGTTCGAAGCATCCACAGTTCCTTCAACTGTAAAGGAAGAAGTGCTTGATCTCATTGCTTTCCTCTGCTGCCTCAGTAAACAGGCGACAGACGTTAAGTGGACAGATGAACAAATCAAGAGATGGGAAAGCCTTGGCCTCGACGTGCAGGCAGAGCTTGCAAAGAGTAAGGATCAATATTATTATTGTTATTATTATTATTATCATTATTATTATTATTATTATTATTATTATTATTATTATTATTATTGTGTGCTGCGGCGCAGATATGCATGCAAATGTTCTTCCTTTGTTATCCTTGCTGTCATTCAAATGCGTTCGCATTTATCAATTCGTTTATAGAGTATTCATCTACTGCAATGTATTCTTATCTTTTTTTGCGTTTGTCGCAGAGGTGTTTGAACCCCCTACTCCTACTGGACCTCCTCGTGAGTTTGCCTTGAACAGCCCTGATAAACAACTCATATTAGCTATTAGTAATGATTAAGTGATTATTTATAGTGATGTGTTAATAGATAATAATACTAGACGATAAGCTATTATTTATATGACTGACGAGATGCCTGACAGTGTTTGCATTTCTACTTTGGGCGTTGAACTGTTCGCTTCCTTTTGTTCTTTCTGATTTACTTTTTTCCTTCTGCTTTTGCAGCGAAAAAGCCCCCAAAGCCAGAAGGTATGTTTAAACTGCTGTCAGCACCAGAGACAGTCAATTTACGAATATAAGCGGCTGCCTGTTGCGCTCGCATCCCTCTTGAACATCAAAAAGCATATTCAAAGGAAAGGAAGTTGATATAAATGAACCATTTGCTGCTGTCGCTCAGAAGAAGAGGCGAAAACTACAACTCCTCCTCCATCACCACCACCCACTCCGCCGCAGCCGAAAGCCCCTGCGCCACCTGAAGGTGCAAGACGTCTTTTTGCTGTTGCTGCTGCTGTTCTGGTGTTGCTACTGTTATGCTGCTGCTGCTGCTGCTATTTTGCCTGCGCTGTGAAATCCGAATCGCATATTATTCTGAAGGCTTTGCAAAGCTTAAAGATTGCATCTTGCGTTCGCTTCCTTGCATATTTTCGCAGTTTTGTTTGGGCTGGAAGAAGCAACGCTGACGCTTCCTTCTGGCGCCCGCGCCTCTCTCCACTTTATTCCTGCAAAAAACATTTTTAGAGTTTTACTTCCTAAAGCAGTGGAGGACTGCTCACTTGAAGATTTCCGAGAAGGCCTGGCGAAGCAAAAAGAAGAAATTCAAAAGAAACTTCTGCAACAGTCGAAACAGTCGGAGCTTGAGGAGGCCCGGAAAGTTGATTTCTGGGAGTTAAAGGAAATATTTGTACCTGCAGAAATTAATAATATTATCGAAGCAGCTAGAAAGAATGAAGTCGTTGGGTTTACTGTTTCAGGTAAGCACGACTGTCTTTCCCTACCCCCTCTTCCCAACGAAGAAGCTGCAAATAAGAAAGTATATCGAAGATGCCTTAGCAGCATTAATCGTTTCATTATACTTTCTTTTGACTTGTTCTCCCTGCGTGCGAACTTTCTTCTGCATCTCTCGGAATGTAGCGGGCGTGCCTGAAAAGAAAGGTAATCTACGTTTGATGTGCAAGAGATATCTCTTCTTCTTGCTGAGAAGATAGTGAAGCATCATATTAACTTAAATGTTCTAATTCCATCCACTTTGCCCTCTGATAAGCAAATATACACCTCTGTCTCCGTCTTTTTTTCAGAGGAAAAAGCTGAGAGTATTCCCCCTCCTTCCCCTCCACCTGTTCCTGCGCGTAGGAAGAAAGCTCCCCGTCATGGTAATTTTCCTCTTATTTTAGATGATTAAACTTAAAAATAATTCTTTCAGGGATTAATTTCAATAAAGAACCGAAACAATGTTGGAGAAAGCAGTGAAACGCACTTTTATCTGTTCTTTTTTTCAAGTATTTGTTTGCTTTCTTGCATTCATGCAGTTTCGTTTGGCCTTGAAGAGGCGACGCTGACGCTTCCTTCTGGCGCTCGCGCCTCTCTTCACTTTGAACCGACAAAACACACTTTTGAAGTTATGTTGCCTAAAGATTTGGAAGAATGTTCAATTGAAGATTTCCGAGAAGGCCTGGCGAAACAAAGCGAAGAAATTCAAAAAGAACTCCTGCAAAAGTCGAAGCACTCAGAACTCGAAGAGGCACGAAAAGTTAATTCCTGGAACTTAAAGGAAATATTTGTCCCTACAGAAATAAAAGATATCGTGGAAATTGCTAAAAAGAACGGAGTTGTTGGCTTTACTGTTTCAGGCAAGCAGGAGTGCCCCCTTCCGTCTTGCTAGCGAGAAAGTAGTAAAGGTAGACGGTACATTAATTAGCAATAAATAATTCAGTAAAAAATGTTTGTTAATTTGTATTCAATGCGTGTGCGTATTCTTCTCCATCTTTCGGACTGCAGCTGGGGCGCCTGAGAAGAAAGGTAGGCAAAACACTCCTTCTTTCTTTTTTGGGCAGCTAGTGAGTTATTAGGGGAGTTAAACTGTTCCAAATTCATCAAGCATGCGTATTGAACAGCACAAGCGCCTTTTATTGCTTGTGTTTTCCAGAGAAAGAGGCTGAAGCTATACCTCTTCCTCCCCCTGTTCCTGCGCCTAGGAAAGCAGCGCCCCCACATGGTGAGTTTCCTCTTATCTCAAATGATTAGATTGGAATAAAACGCTTAAGCGGTTACACGAAGTGTTTTAAAAGAGAATGTAGGGGTGTGAAAAGGGCGGCTAAGGACAGGAGTATCTGTTTTTTATTCAAAGATCTGTTTGCTTTCATGAATATATGCAGTTTTGTTCGGGCTTAAAGAGGCGAAGCTAACGCTTCCTTCTGGCGCCCGCGCCTCTCTTCACTTTGACCCGACTAAAACAACTTTTAAAGTTGTACTTCCTAAAAAAGTAGAAGACTGTTCACTTGAAGATTTTCGAGAAGGCCTGGCGAAGCAAAGAGAAGAAATTCAAAAAGAACTCCTGCAAAAGTCGAAGCACTCAGAGCTCGAGGAAGCCAGAAAAGTTAGCTTCTGGAAAATAAAAGATATTTTAGTGGAGGCGACTCTTCAAAAAATAATAAAAAGAGTACATAAAGGAAAGACAATTCCGTTCTCAGTCTCAGGCAAGTGCAAATGTTATTATACTGCACTCCTAGTAAAGCAATAAGGATATAATAATAAGGATATTATTGATTGTATTGTTATAAGATAGTGAGTTAATAATGAATATAAAAGAGGCATATGCAAGGGAAACAAAAACAAACAGAATAATCAATCATTATAGACAGCAACAAGACTTTCTTACAGGTCTTATGCATGCACTTCTTTTCTGTTTTCTTTCTCTTTTTTTGCATTTGTTCTGCTTGCAGCTGAAGCTCCTATAAGCGAAGGTACTTATTTTGCACATTGATCATTTATTCTTTTTTAATCCTTCTTTCCTTCTCTGCTGAGCCCTAGATGCTGCTGTTAATGATTATAAAGGCTAAAGGTTAATAAGATTTAAACAAGAAAGTTTCTGCTGTTTTGTCTTCATTTTTTATTACTTTTACAGAAGAAAAACCCCAAGTTGTCGTTCCTCTTCCTCCTGTCCCTCCGCCACCTAAAGAAGAGGCTCCACCCAGTGGTGCGCAGACAGCCTGAACAAAGATAATATATATATATATATTGTGTATTATATTATATTATATTATATTATATTATATTATATTATATTATATTATATTATATTATATTATATTGTATTGTATTGTATTATATTATCCTATATTATACTATATTATACTATATTATATTATAATATATTAATATTGTTAATTGTCTTCACTTGCAGAAGAAGCTGAAAAACCCAAAGAAATCCAAACGCCAACAGAAGAAGAAGAGGCTGCGGCCCCTGAAGGTAATCTTCGCTGCAGTTATTTCTTTCTCTCCCCCCCCGCTTGTCTTGCATAGACAGAATAATATACAATATATATATATATATAACAACAATAGATATAAAGACAACTGCCTACGGATCACAGATGCCTTCTTTGCTCAGGAAGCCCTCAACTTTGCTTGCTGCATTTTAGGGTTTGGGGTTTAGGGTTTAGGGTTTGGTGTTTACGGCTTAGGGCTAGGCGTTCAGGGTGTACAACTGAGAGTTTTAAGGTTTAGAGTTTGGCGTTGAGTGTCTAGGGTTCAGGATTTGCGGTTTAGGGCTTAGCGTTTGGGGATTAGGTCTAGGGTTTAGGGTTTAGGGTTTAGGGTTTAGGGTTTGTGGCAGTTGCAACTTTTCTTGCATTGTGTAGAAACGAAGAAGCCCCCCGCCGCCTTCGAACCCCCAACGCGCGAACGTCAGTCCATAATAAACAAATTAAATAAATAAACAAATAAATTGATTAATTAATTAAAAATTAATTAATTAATTAATTAATTAATTAATATTAGTGGATAAGCAAACAAATTCCCTGGGTATATGTATATATGTATATATATATATATATATGTATACATATACATTCGTATATATATATATATTGTGAATATATGCTGCCTTGGATGCAGCATCATTATTTGTATTTGTTTGGTTTGCCTTACATGCTGTCGTCTTTCTTTGTTTTTTTTTGTTTTCTTTGTCTGCTCCTTTGCTACAATCTGCCTTTATTTAATATTTGTTCGTCTTTGTGTTTACTAACTCTGATATTATATTATTCTATATAATATATATATTTATATTTTCTTTGTTTATATATTATTTTCTCTTCGTTTATATGTTATTCTCCTTCTTCGCTTTTGTGTTTAAACAGTAATTTTTGTGTTTGTTTATTGAATCATAATTTTTTGTTTGTTTATCAAATTACAATTTTATGTCTCTCTATTAAACATCTAAACAAACGAAAAATTATTTATTGTATACTTTTTATTTGTTTATTGAATTATAATTTTTTGGGTTTGTTTATTAAATACTTTTTGTGTTTGTTTACTGAATGATGATTTTTTATGTTTGTTTATAAAATAGTGTTTGAGTTATAATTTTTTGTATTTGTTTGTTTTAGACTGCGCACGCTATCCTTTGGATTTGAGGGTGTCTCCGCGTGCGATTCAAGAAAAAACGTTGAGTCATTTAATAGATTGGTTAAATAACAGCAGCAATGAAAAGAACTCTTTTAATGTAGGAGCAGTTTGTTTATTGCATGCAGCGCATGCAGATATATATGAACGTCTTCATTTATCTTTTCACCGATCTTTCAAACCCCCTGAAGTTATCGAAGGCGCCATTAATGCTTCTTCTCTAATTGCTCTCAAACTACAAACTGCAATTGATGTTAAAGACATCCCTCAACATGAAGAAACTGCAACACAAGTCATCAGCAATACGCGTCTGTGCATCGATGCAGGCAAGCACACACAAACCCTAAACCCTAAACCCTAAACCCTAAACCCTCGTTGTTGTTCACTCGTAGAGGGATCTTAGGGTTCAATACAGTGATGATTCAGTAGGGCTTAGCAGCAAAATGCAATTTATCTTTTACTTAAGCTGTAAATACAATATAAATCAAGATGCATATATATATACATATATATATATATATATGTATCTGTATACGTACACACATACATATAGAAATGCAGATATGTATATATATATATATATATGTATATATATACGCACCCATCCATCCATACATCCGCACACACATGCCTATACACGTATATATATAATGTATATATATATATATATTTATATATTTATATATTCTGTTGTTTCTGTTTTGGTTTGTTTTAGTTCGCCTAATGAGTCGTTTAACGAGTCAAAGACGCGCAGACAGACCGCAAGAAGCTGTTGTAGGAGTATCAAATCTGTTGGGTTTATCTTTAAATATGTCTTTCGATGGAGTAGACAGCCTTGCGGAGCATGTAGTTAAGTTTGTTTTAGCGAACTGCAGCAAAGAAAAGACAGAAAATAAGGCTAATCTATATCCGATGTCTCAAACTGTTTTAATGACGCTTCTTTTAAGATATCTTGAAGCTGTTACATGTCAGGTGTACGTACACCGCAACCCTCGCTATCTTCTCGCCCTTCTATCTCTACCAGGAAAAGAAGAAATAGAAATGTTTTTAACGTTTGTAAAGCTCTATAATGATGTTCTTTCACGCAATCAAACTAATGATAAACACCCCAAAGCCACCATCGAGAAAGCAGCAAAAAAATGCAAAGAAATCTCTCTAAGTTCAGGTAAGATAAACATCAACAAAAACTAACTAAGATAATTTAATTAAAACAAACAAAAATAAAAACAAACAGAAATATAACTAAGAGAAACAGATATAAATAGAAACACAGACACAGACAGATAGAGATAGAGCTATATATATATATATATATATATTCAAATACAGAGAGAGAGAGACAGAGAGACAGAGAGGCTGATAGAAAGAGATAAAGAGAGAAAGAGAAGGAAATTGAAACTGCTGCTGCTGAGGTGTTGGCTTTGTTCTCTTCTTTTCTTTTCTTTATTTTTACATATTCATCTCATCCACCAATTAATTTGTTTTGCTACTTTTATTGTTTTTCCTCTTCATTATCTTTGTCTATTATTATTACTAGCACACCCATCATTATCATTATTATTAATAATTGGCGTTACCATTCATAAATAATAATACTAATACTAATTATTATTATTATTATTACTATTATTGCAATAATAATAATGCTTATTATTACTATTACTACTATTACTATTATTCCTGTAATAATAATAGTAATTATTATTATTATTAGTATATGCTTACTAATTTTAGAGAAAGAGAAGGAAATTGAAACTGCTGCTGCTGAGGTGTTGGCTTTGTTCTCTTCTTTTCTTTTCTTTATTTTTACATATTCATCTCATCCACCAATTAATTTGTTTTGCTACTTTTATTGTTTTTCCTCTTCATTATCTTTGTCTATTATTATTACTAGCACACCCATCATTATCATTATTATTAATAATTGGCGTTACCATTCATAAATAATAATACTAATACTAATTATTATTATTATTATTACTATTATTGCAATAATAATAATGCTTATTATTACTATTACTACTATTACTATTATTCCTGTAATAATAATAGTAATTATTATTATTATTAGTATATGCTTACTAATTTATTTTTGATTGAATTTGCAGACCTGATGCGGTTGCCGCTGACAGTGGGCGACGTGGAGCTCCAGCGTAAGAATAAGTTTTGATGTATTGTTCGGCATGCAAACAAAGAAATAAAGAGCTTTAATATTTCTTTTAAACTAATCTGTTATTATATAATCAAAATATATAATGATGCTATAATATATATATATATATATATGCATATGCACATATCAATATATATATATATATATATATATGCATATGCACATATGAATATATATATATATATACATATATATATGTATATATGCATGTAGGGTGTTAATAATATCTTTCTCGTTAATCTATTTTCATAGAACAGCGTTTAATAGTCATTTCCTCTTTTATTTGTCTGTTATGAAAGAAAGAGCGATAGCAGTCTCTTTATCTTGCGTTCATATGCTTCTTGAGATTCTAACGGTATTTATTTCATGTGTTTATCTGCTTTAAGAGAAAATGTTTATTAATTACTAAGAGAAAATGTTTATTAATTTTGCAGGTTAACTGCGAGTCTGTCTGTGATTTGTTATATCGTTGAAATAGAGAGAAGAAATGCTGTTTATTCCTTTTCTTGTGCTCTTAATAAAAAGGCTTAAAACCCCCTGTTCACTCACTAATCAATGCATAATATATATACATATATATATATATATATGTATATATATATGCATATAATTATATATGTATCTTTATATATTCTATTTATATAGATGCGCTGCAGTTCTTTTCTGTGGAGTTGCGCATTTCTTTCTTTTCTTATAATCGCTCAGTGCATGCATTTTTTAATATTTTGTTTTTATTTCTTTGTTCTTTTTTCTGTTTTTCTTCTGCTTTGTTCAGTCGAAGGGGAGATAGATATCATTCGGAAATTGATGGAGGGACAGAGATAAATAAAGGTTTTTAAAGAGACAGAAGTAGTGAAATAAACATCTTTTAAAAGATAAATATAAATAAAACTTCTTCTGATCGATTGGCTCCAAGTCACAAGCCGCGTTGTTGCAGTGTACAGACAGTGCGCGCTGCATGCATGCAGCAAATTAATTAATATTTTCTTCTGGTTTTAAATGGACATTTTCTCCTTACTGTTTTCTCCTTAATACCCAATTTAAATAATGCAGATGGGGAGATAAAAGAATAAAAAAATTATCTGTGGCCTCTTTATGCAGGTCTTGTTGATTGCATTTTGCTGCTTCGGCTGCATCCGTTTAAATTAATTCAAAAAACTTTTTTTTAATATTTGAAAACACCGAAAAGATGTAAACAGGCTTCCCCTTTTACATTTAGAGGGCTGAGTACCAATTAGATCTGCTCCCCTTCCCTGGCATATATATAATATGCGCATATATATGTACATATACATACATATTGTATATATATATATATATATATGAAAATAGATATTACGTTTATCTACACCAGCCCCTTATTGAGGCACTTAGGAAGTGCTGAAGAGTATTTCGATTTATTATGATTATTTTTCTGCACTGTTCAATAGCGGCCATTGGTTTTAAATTGGAAACGAAGAGAAGCATTTAGTTAAAAGTCAGACCTGAAGAAATATATATATATATATATATATATATGTATATATATATTTCTTCTTCATATAAGTTGCATGTTATTTCTTGAATGTGGAATTCAAGTAGGTCGCTTTCTCGTCGTGACAGAACATACACTGCAGCTTACTTCAGCAATGCCTTCAGAAACACAATTTTTATTCCGTGCTTTTTTATTTCCAAATTTTAATAGTTCGAAAACACCTTCCCCTGTTGCAAATGAGAGTTGCTGGGGACTGAATTGTATTTGAGAGTAGATATTTGTATTATTGTTTGTATCCGCGAGGTAGAAATAGAAACTCAGGTGTATATTTCCATCAAATAATATATTTATATGCATATTTACCTATATAAATTCCTGAATTTCTTTTTACATATGTCCTGTATTTATTTTTAGCTAAAATTGCACGAAGATGCGAGGCTTGCAGCTCAACTATCCGTTGCATCACAACACTGGCTGCCTCAACTGACGAGCTAAGACAATAATTTAGAGCGGTATATTAGAAAAAAAGTAAAAACATTTAATCAAATAACTATAAACAGCAAACGAGGAGTGGGGGGCAATGCAAGCAAACAACAATGAAATGATATGCCACACTGCGCATCATGACGCATGAATTGCATGGAGGTCCCTATACACCTCAGAGTGTCACTGCAGGTCCGCCTTTAAGCTGTGCGACTTAGTGCAGAGCTGATGAACATAACAATCATATATTCCATTAATACTGCAATAAAGCGGCATTAAATGCGAAAAAAACTGCTGCATGCAAACAGAACTATGATCGCCTCTACCGGGGCTGCAGCTGCGATTAGGAGCAGCAAAACAAATGCAGCGGTAATCGGCTGGTGAAGTGTTTTTGAATTAATTCTCATATTTCTTTTTCTTTTTTTATTTTCGGGAACGGTTTATTTATTCCTTCTTCTTTAATCCTTAGAAGATCGGAACTATTTAACTTCTTTCTTCCCTTCCTCCTCCGTGCTCTGTTGTCTGTCACCGCAGCCTGGCCCCTTCTGCATATATTTCGTTTATCTTAGCCTCAAAAAGCGCTCCAAACGCAACTCCTCTTTTCATAAGAAGGCATCAGTGTGCAGACAACACCCATTTATGCTACGGCGGCTCCTCATGCTCATCTTGTTGTCTGTACACCGTAAACCTGCAGCGGTTGCTGCTGCGGCCTGACTGCGTAGTTTCGTCTGTTTGCTTCAACAACTCTCCCTGCACCCTCCATTCACTGGCGACGGCAACAGCAGCAGCAACAGCAGCAGCAGCAGCAACAGCAGCAGCAGCAGCAGCAGGCGCTGCTGCTGCCCAAAGGAAGATGACTACAGACCCTGGCTGCTCCCGTCGAGTAGCTGATGATGCTGATGCAGAAAGGACAGGAAAAGGAAGGCGTGGGGATGCAGCAGCAGCAGGCGGAGCTCGCCGCCGCAGCCGCAGCGGGAGCACCGGTGGGCGGCACAACAAAAGCAGCAGCAGCAGCAGCAGCAGCAGCAGCAGCAGCAGCAGCAGGGATCCCCGAGGCAGCAGCAATGTGAAGATTGAGAAGATGGGAGATAGAGAACGAGAGGTGGCCGATGACACGGAACGCAGAAGAGAAGGAAATAGAGAAAGAGACAGAGAAAGAGAGAGAGATAGAGATGGAATTAGAGACAGAGACAGAGACAGAGAGAGAGACAGAGACAGAGACAGAGACAGAGATGGAGTTAGAGACAGAGAAAGAGAAAGAGAAAGATATAGAGAGGGCGAGAGAGAAAGAGACAGGGGTAGAGATGGAGACAGAGAAAGAGATAGAAACAGAGATAGAGAGGGTCTTAGAGACAGAGACAGAGACAGAGACAGAGAAAGACAGGTTTACATAGATAGAGGACGCAGAGACGGAGACAGAGACAGAGAGGCAAACAGAGACGCAGAAAATAGAGACAGAGATGGAGTTAGAGACAGAGAAAGAAACAGAGAAAGAGAAAGAGACAGAGAAAGAGAAAGAGAAGGAGACAGAGACAGAGCGAGAATAAGAGACAGAGATAACAGAGACAGAGAAGCAAATAGAGACAGAGATGCGGTTAGAGACGCAGAAAGAGATAGAGACAGAGACAGAGATGGAGGGAGAGACAGAGACAGAGAAAGAGACAGAGACAGAGACAGAGACAGAATGAAGGCAGGTAGTTTAGGAGGCGCCGCTGAAGACAGGAGGAATCCGCAGCAGCAAACGTCAGGCAGCAGCCGCGCTGCTTCTGCTAGCGACAGAGCTGGTATTAATAATACCAGCAGCAGCAGCAGCAGCAGCAGCAGCAGCAGCACCAAAGGCAGAGAAGAGGAGCAGCAGCTGCTGCGGAGAAAGAGAGACAGAGAGATTCCTTCATCTGGCCGTCTACCGCCTGTAAAAAAAGAACCTGAGGAGACACCTCGGCACTCGGCAGCAGCTGCTAGGCGCCGCCGGAGCAGCAGCAGCAGCAGCGGCGGGAGCAGCAGCGGTAGTGAGAGCAGCGGGAGCACCGGCAGCGACAGCAGCAGCGGCAGCAGCAACAGCAGCAGCAGCAGCAACCGCAGCACACAACGAAGAAGAAACACTACCCGACAGTTGGGGGCTCTTCGTGCATTTCATCAGGCCTTAGATGCAGCAGCAGATTCATCAAGGCGCCCGCCTCGCAGGCGCGCAGCAGCAAAGCACAGAAGCAGCAGCGGCAGCAGCAGCGGCAGCAGCAGCGGCAGCAGCAATGGCAGCAGCAGCAACAGCAGCAGACGCAGCAGCAGCCGTGCAAGGTCGGGGGGCGGTAGGCGAGAGCAGCGCAGCAGCTGGAGAGACAGAGGAACAGCAGACGAGAGGGAGAGACACCGCAACAGAAGCAGCAATAAGCAAGAAGATGCTGCTGCTGCAGCAGAACAAGAACCACCACCCTTTGACAAAGACATGGAGGCATATGCCGCTAAGAAAATTAAAAAAGTAACAGCAGAAGACCTCGGCAGAGCAGGTATAGCAAAATGCAGAAACAGAAAAGATATAATCAGCAATTAAATGAAGTGTACATACACCGCATTATATACAGACCATAGACGCGTCTTCAGCTATACGTACACCTAACTTCTGTTGGCTGTATGGGTGACTGCTGCTTCCCTGCTGTTGCTGCTAACTGCTGCATGTGCTGTTTCTTTTGCTGCTGCTGCTGCTGCTGCCGCTGTTTGCATGCAGGAGGTGTGTACGTGCCTCCGTTTAAGTTGGCGCGTCTGCAGCAAAAGACAGACGACAAAAAGAGCGTCGCCTACCAACGCCAGATGTGGGAGGCGTTGAGAAAAAGTATTAATGGGCTTGTCAATAAAGCAAACGTTTCTAACTTAACTCAGCTCGTGCAAGTAAGAATAAATATATATATATATATATATATAATGTGAATAAAGCAAGCGTCTCTAACTTAACCCAACTCGTGCAAGTAGGAAAAGCTTAAAGAATATATACATATATATATATATATATATTTGTATATTATATATATATGTTAATAAAGCAACTGTCTATAACTTGGCTCGACTCGTGCAACTAAGAATATCTTATAGCGTATATATTAATATGTACATATACACACATATCCACACACACATATATAATATATAATATATATATTATATATATTATATATAAGTATAGATGTTGCATGCGTGCGTGTGAATGGTTTCAGGAGTTGTTTCGAGAGAACTTGGTTCGAGGCCGGGGTTTGTTTGCCCGGGCGTTGATTCGCGCGCAGTTGGCGAGCCCCGGCTTTACTGCAGTTTACGCTGCGCTGCTCTCCATCGTCAACAGCAAACTGCCGGATATCGGCGAGCTCGTCATCAAGAGATTAATTCTGCAGTTCAGGTATATATATATATAGATATATAGATATATAGATATATATAGATGTAGATATATGTATATAGATGTATGTATGCATGTATATTTCTATATATTTAGCTATGTATGTATTTAGTTATTTATGCGGTTATTTGTGTTTGTTATTTTTCGGTGAACTCGTCTTCAAAAGATTAATTCTGCAGTTCAGGTATATATATATATATATGTATATATATCTTAAATTATATATAGTTATGCATTATGTTTAATGTAATAGAATATGTGTATGTGTATATTCTATGCTGTATGTTTATGTATTATGTGCATGCTATATATTGACGATCTCGTCATCAAAGGATTCAGTTATATGTATATGTATGCTCATTATATATATATATATATATATGTATATGTATTATATTTAATGTGCATGCTGTAGAATATATATGCAAGTATAGTATGTATGTATGCTCCTTCTGCTTCTGGTGCTACTGCTGTTGCTGCTACTGCTGCTGCTGTTGCTGTTGGTGCTGCTGTTGCTGCAGACGTGCATACCGGCGCAATGACAAAGTTGTGTGTTTGGGATGCGTGGAGTTCTTTGCGCATTTGGTGAATCAGCGCATTGCGCACGAATTGTTGGCGCTGCAGTTATGCGAGTTGCTGCTGCAGCAGCCCACAAATGATTCTGTTGAAGTCTGCATTGGATTTCTTAAGGTGAGATTACTCTATATATCTATATCTATATCTATATATATATGCATGCGCCTTCTGCATGCAGTGTCTGCATCCACGTACTTCCGGTTTAACAACGGAGGGCTCGGACGCCTTCTCCTTCCTGCTGCTCCTGCTGCTGCTGCTGCTGCTGCTGCTGGTCGTGTTACTAGTTATTCTTATTATTACTATTATTATTGTTATTATTACATATTTATTATTATTATTTTAATTCTAGTGTTTTGTTTGTTGTTGTTTTGGCGGTGTTGCATGCAGTCTTCGAAGTCCGCTTAATTTTGTTTGCTTTTATTTTGCTTTTCCTCGTTCTTGTTTTTATTCTTTTCTTCTTCTTCTCTCGTTTTTATTGTTCGACTTCTTTTCTGATATCTTTTTTATTGTTTATTTTATGCATTTGTTTATCTCCCTTTCTGGTGTATTTCTTTTCTGCATATATTTTTTTATATGCTCGATGAATTCCTTGTTTACTAAATATTTAATATTTTAATTAATTTATTTATATATTTGTTTATTTATATCTCAGGCCGTCGGCCAAGTGCTAGAAGATGTGTGCAGAGGTGGATTTGATGCTGCCTTTGAAAGACTGCGTGCAATTCTTCAAGAAGGAGAGACAGACAAAAAAACGCAATATTCAATTGAAGCGCTTTGGGACATAAGAAGAAACGGCTTCAAAGACTTTCCGGGAGTCAGACTACACTCAGCTGCTGCTGCTGCTGCTGCTGTTGCTCTTGCTGCTGGCTTTGCTACTGCTGGTGTTGCTGCTCCTGGCGTTGCTGCTGCTGCTGTTGCTGCTGCTGTTGCTGCTGCTGCGGTTGGCAGTGTTGTTGGTGTTGCTGTTCTGAATGTGTTCATCATATATATATATATATATACATATAGTGTATGTTACAATAATGAATATTCTATGGAGTAAAGAATATAATAGTAATCTATATTATATATAAATGTACGTATTATAAATGGATGTGCATGCATGATTTGCCTAACCCTCTCTTTGCATTTTTCTATATACACCTCCTGCTATATATATATATATATATGTATAATATATTTTATTATATATATATTTATTTAGACAGGTGGTAGAAGACTTGGATTTGAGTAGTAGAACAACAAGCATAATATAATATTATTACATATTTATTTATTTAATTTCTTCAGGTGATAGAAGACCTAGACTTAGTTGAAGTTGAAGACAAAATAACGCATGAAGTCGATATAATGGATCCGTCGATAAAAGGTGAAGAAATGTTAAATATATTCAAGCCCCAAGATCCTGACGTAAGTAAATATTTTTATTTATTTTATTCCTTTTTCATTTTCTTCGCCATTTGCTTTATTTGTTTTTACTTCGTTTGTTTGTTTGTCTGTTTGTTTGTTTGTTTGTTGATTCGTTAGACTCTGCTTTCTCCAGCGGTGTTTCTATAGATAT